CCGAGTGCAGGTAGTTCTCCTGTTCATCAACCACGTCTCCTGATGCTCCAGTGTGTATATACTAAAGTCCCAACTCAATTAACACGCAACTAAAAATGGTATAGCAAAATGATATTTCCAGATTTACCCATGTGTTAGTGCTCACCCTAACCTCGAATTGTTAAATCTGAAGTAGTGTGGTTTTCCTAATTGCAAGTAAAATTGGAAGTCAGCCGATCTCACCCGTACTAAAACTATCGGAAATGTTAACGCCCACACGTGTGGGCGTTTGCACATCGCCCACACGCCTCCATCACCACTCATTTTGCCACATATGAATAGATGACATCAGCAGATTTTTTTTTGGTTTTCGGCTTAAAAATGGTGTATCTCCTAAATAAAAAAGCGAACTAAAAATTTGTTTTCACCATTAAATCCGTCTCAACGAGATCTTCAAAACTAGACCCCATGTTGATATGTTTCGACGAATTTTTCTTTTTTGCCAGAAGTTGCCACGATGTTTACACTGCAGTTGTCATAGGGGTTAAATTAAAGTTGCCATGTGACAATTTTAGTTTGTAGATCATGGCAATTTTAGTATTTTGATGATGCCAACTCCAGTACTTTGACCATGAAAATTATTTTTTGTATGAACCATGGCAATTTTACGTGCATGTATCATGGCAATTTTAGTTTATGGTTCATGGCAAGTCTATTTTCTTAATTCCGCGTTTTATAAATGTCAAAATTTACTTTTAAATGTAGAAGAAAATAGCTGAAACATATCATGGCAACTTCAGTGTAAACATCATGGCAATTCATATGCAATAGACATGACAACTTTTAATCCAAAAAAAATTTCATCAAAACATATCAACATGGAATCTAGTTTCGAAGATCTCATCGCGAGGGATTTAATGGTGAAAACGGATTTTCAATCGGATTTTTCGTTTAAGAGATAAAACATTTTAAAAACTGAAAATCCAAAAAGATTCCTGCATGCATGCATGCGATGACATGGCAATCTGTTTACATTAGAGACGTGTGGTGTGTCTCCCTTCCTGCCACACGTATGGCAGTTAGCGCGACCCAAAACTATCACGTCCATCAGCCTAATCAGCTTTAAACCATTTGTTGTGCACCAATAAGGCCTGCCTCGGAGTTAAGTGGTACTACATACATTTGAATTTTTTTGAGAAGAATTCTTCAGACTTAAACTGTAATAACTTACAGGGGTATTGAGTTCAGAATTAGTCTTCCAAACTATCCCCAAAACGCCTCCATACATCGGTATTTCATCTCCCTAGTAAACTGGTGTTAGCACTCAGCAGTGCCATTTACCCAATGCTCGGTAGTTAACGACCAGATGCTCTGTTTTCCTCTTTAGTTTTGTCAGGTCACTGCTCGCGCGCCTCTCCGCCACTGCTGGTCGTAACAGAAGCTGAGCATCAGGTAAATGCCACAACATCAGTGTCTAGCCTACCATCAAACAGCAGCGGTGGATGGAGCATGCGTGGCTGCCTCGGGGCCTTGGCAGATTCATCAACTGTCAATATAAACAAGTAGGAGGAAAGTGGTGTTAGGCTTCATAGATTTTCACATAGATTTGACCACATGAACAAAGGAAGTTTCAACAGTAACTTATTTGGTGCGCACCTGCACCTACAGACATACTGGCTTCCAAGGATGCATCAAATTAAAGTGTTGTAGGAATCAAAGTAAGCACAAGTTTGACTAGGAGGGCACCTGTCACTGGAAAGTTCACTAACAAAAGAGTTTATGTTATCTTCAAGGCTGATCTTGATGCTCGGGTGTCCTGGATGGACACCGATGGCATTCCTCAGGATAGCCTCTGCATCGGCAGCCCTTCTCTGTGACTCTGTATCTGCTCCCTCAAAGTAAATATCAAAGTCGACTTCCCTGAGTCTCAGCAGGTACTCCACGCCCTCAATGATCGAGGGGCTGTGGCGCTCCATCCCTTGCTCGTGCATTTGCAGATTCAACTTTAGAAGTTTGGGCATTGCCCCTGCCATAAAGGATAGGCATGGGGCGAAGCATGTGATTCTCAAGTATTTGAGAAGCTGGAATGCTATGCTACCACACCATCACTGATGATAATCCACAACCATAGGTGCACTAGATTTGGTAACCCTGCGAGCATATCAACGTCCTCCTGCATCAGCTTCTCAACAGCAATTCCCAACTTCGAGAGCTTTCGGTGCTGACCGGTCCAAATCGGAACCCTCGGAAACGTCCAAGTTGCTGCAACATGGAGTGACTCAAGATTCCTCTCAGTATTGCTAGTGATCAGAGAAGCCAACTCAACAGATGGAGGACAAAATATGTTACTACCGGACCAAAGATATCTCAGATTGCACCGATAAGTTGGGCCATGGAATACCAGAAAGTATCCATAAGAATTCCACGTTGGCTAGTGGTACGTTCAGCACCATCGCAACAAAAATCAAGAAATCTAAGATTTGTAAGTTCACCGTGACCTGTTAGATTATCCATTGAGTTCAAGTGCACATCAAAGTTCAGTAGAGTACGTAGGGCCTTCATCCTACGAATTCCATCAGGTAGCTTTGTTCCAATAGGAACATCCAGATGCAACAAGCAAGGCAAATCAACAATATCAGATGGCATGGAAGTAGTAATATGTATATCCAATTTCAGTGTCTCCAAATGTTTCAGGTCCCCAATTAGGTTTGGCAGAATAAGGGTGGGAATATCTTTCTTGTGGCTGATGATGCTCAAATATCTTAGATGAAATAATTTACAGATTGGTGTGAGGTCAATCCTATCAGCCATGCAATCACCCTGACAATCCACATTCAGAACTCGGATTGACTTGAGTTCATACATAGAGAACTTGAAACAAAACTTTCCAAAAAGACCAAGACATCGGATATGTGGCACCGATGGAGGCAAGACGATGTATCTGGCGACCACGCAGATCGACTACACCGAGTGTCCGTATGCATCGTTCTGATGAGGCCGGGGAGTCCCCCTTTTCAAAAAAAAAAGATCGACCGCTCCGAGCTCACGCATTGGAACAGGTGCGGGCCAAACAGCTCCACCGGGGCTATCTCGACCTGTCCACGCCGAGCCGCACGATCGCATACACCAAGCCATCAACACGGAATCACCGAGTGATCTGCACCAACCCCATGCCGCATCATCAAGCTGTACGACTACGCCAGGCTACAAGCCAATATACTTCGTCGAGCACGTCTATGAGAAGTGATCTCAACATGCACCATCCACATGCCAGACCAGTGTGGAACGAGATGCAATCTTCATCGACTTGTCCGGTGCGACACAACATCGACTTCTCCTGCGCGACACACCATCGACACTTGGTCGCCGCGAGGGACGCTTTCAAGCGACACATTATCGTCAACACGTCGCTGTGACGCCATCGCCGACACTTCATCGCCAAGGTCTTCATCAACGTAGTCTTCATCACCATCATCGTCAACACACCGCCGCCACCTCGTCCACAAGATGGACACCTAGCGTCCTCTGACAGACTTTTCTGGAAGACACGACCTCGACAACGGTAATGATCACGTCACGATGACTGCATCGACACGGCGTCACTATATTGACGACCCTGCACGGCCACACGGTTCTGGCAAAACAGATGTGGGCTCGATGGGCTTCCTCCGGTCTTGGCAAAACCGGTGGACTCATTGCCGACGGCACCCTCTAACATCCGCAAGATGCATCGTCCACGTCTGCAGCTCTGTCATAGCGCATATTTTTGCGCCCCTGGCTTTGTGCGGATCGTTGTGCACACTGTGTTGCGTTGAGGTGCAATGGAGCATCGCCGGTGGTCGTCGGATGCTGCAATGGAGTTGCGATGCAGCATTGTCACGACGCGCCGTGTTGCAAAGAGGTTGCAAACGGAGCATCACCGGTGGTCATCGGTTGCTGCACCATATCGGTTTCTGAAAGGCCGGACTGGGCGGGTTAGTGTTGCCATCTTGAATTTATATCCATTTTAGCTGGGCTAAATTCACCAATGAAGCCCACG